ATATATATATATATATATATATATATATATATATATAAGAGGAAGAGAGGAAAATGAAATGACAAATTACCAAATAGCTCTCTCTCTCTCTCGCTCTCTCGATCAAATCAAAAGAGGGACAGGAAAAAGAAATAACAAATGACCAAATCGATCGGCTCCGCGTCCGGCCCCCACGAAGAATCTCGAAGCTCCGAAGCCATTAATTAACGAAAGCCTTCCGCTCGTACCTTAATCTTGCGACCCCCGTTTCGTCTGGCGTCTCCGGAGGAGGGTTTCACCTTCTTGTTGGGATATCCCCGTGTCGAGCCCGTTCATATTTTGGCGATTCCACCCCCGATTCTTTGGAGGCAAGTCGGTCTTCCTTGGATTCGTTGTTTCTACGAGTGTTTGGGCTGCGATATCTGAAGAATTGTGGGAGTTCCTCTGATCTGTGCCTTCCGAGGCGGTTACGATACCTGATCTTCCTTGATTGAATCGCTTGCTTCTCTGGGGGAAATTTTAATTGGTTTCGGCTGCCAACGACATCGTTCTTTTCCCTTTTGATTTCAGGAAATTCGGGATGACTCGGATCGAAATGATTTCGTGATCATGTTGTTTTTTTGATGATTGGTATTTAGGGCTTTTTCTGATGTTGTATTCTTGGATTTTGGGTTGTTATCAAGATGTTTTCTTTCCTACTGTTGCCGCATTTAATTCCCTCTTTTGTTACTGGCAAAATCTAATTATTGTTGTGTTCTTCTATTTTGTAGCGCGATAATTGGTCCTTTTGTTTTCGGCTTACATTGATCGCCTGTATTCAGGCAGATGAATCTGAGGATTAGATGGAGTTTTCTTGCACCATTTTACTTCTGCTCACCTATTGGTAACGTTGTTTATGATTAGTTCAGGCATGCAGGGCCAACTGGTTTGTAGTGGATGTAGGAACGTTCTTTTATATCCCAGGGGAGCCGCTAGCGTCTGTTGTGCAATATGCAGCACCATAACTACAGTCCCACCTCCAGGTGCTTCGTCTACATCATTCCTTCTTGTCATTTAACTCTGTTGATTGCTCCACATGTGCATTTTACATGGCTTGGTATGCAAGCATCACAAACCTATATTACCAACAAAATGTAGTGGTTTACTTCTGCACCTTGAAAATATTTTTCTTTTCCTATGTTGAATTGTTCCTTGTGGCTGGCATAATATGGGTGCACATTGCATACCAACATATCCATAGACCGCCCTCCAAAAACCTTAGAGGCTATCCTGACCATACTTGATGTATGCTATCAAAGAAAGGATATCTAATTGAAGGAAAATAACATACATGTGATGTGATATTGGTTGTTAACTGTGTTCAGTTGTGCTTAAGGCTGTTCTCTGCTTTGGTTAAATGGAGACATGGTGGATTTGTCTATGGAAGATTTAGTTGATCTGTGTGCAGGAATGGAGATGGCTCAGCTTATATGTGGAGGTTGTCGAACGCTATTGATGCATGTTCATGGTGCAACAACTGTTAGATGCTCCTGCTGCAACACTATCAATATCACTAGACCAGGTCTGTGCTTTTTGTTTGCTGTTAACCGATATGTAGTATTGATTAGCAATTCTGTGACTCCACAAAGCCTAGAGGTTCTTTTGTAATGATTGTGTGATACATGAAATGGAAACTTTGTCATGTTAAAGAAACTCTCCATATTCCAAGATGTGAAGAACATTTTTGTGATGCTTTGGTTTTTTTTTTTTTTTTTTTACACTTATTTAGTTATAACTTATTCGTGTGACATATTTTGTTTTAACTATCCTAATAGCATTTTCAATAAGTTACTCAATGTATCCCGAGAATAGTTGCTGTAACAACGACAACAACAATAAAGCCGTAAGTCTCAACTATTTGGGATCGACTACATGGATCTTTTGTGGTTATTAAGATCTTAATTAGCTAGAGAATAGTTGCTGCACATACCTCTTAATTGACATTGTTGCTTGGAGGGTTTGTGTTCTCTCATACAAATACACTTGTATTCAAGTCCCTTATATCTTTATTTGTCAGAACTGCAAGAGCATCATTTCCTTTCTATAACAACTCAAGCCTTTCTACTATCAATTTGACACTTTCTTCTGGCTACTTATTCAAACACTTGTGTTATTGCAGAATTTACTTTTATAGTTAAACATTTTATTCTGAATTATCTTGTGATCTCTTTCTGAAGTTATAAATTGGGTCTTGGGAAATTGTTTCTTTTGCACAAAGGAGCTATTGTTCATAATGAGCCAGACTGACAAGATATACTGAAATTCTGTTCTACTACAACAACAAATCCTTAAATCCCAATTATTTGGGGTTAGCTACATGGATCTTTTGCCATTATTAAGATCTGAAAAAAAAGTCATATGTTTAGTTGAATTAAGAGTATTTAAATCTTTATTTATATTTTTATTAAAGTATTTTTAGTTCTTCTACCTCTCCTTTAATCACTAATAATCATTTCACCTCTTCTAACTATTGATCCGTATGTCTCTTGAGCACATGTCCATACCATCTTAAACAATCCTCCCTCATTTTATCTTTTATCGAAGCGAAACCTAATTGTTAACTAATAAAAATATTTTTTTCTATCTTTCACAGTAACTCGATAAATTCACCTCAATATTCTCATCTTAGCAATATAAATTTTTTGTATATGTTGTTTCTTAATTACCCAATACTTGAATACATAATCATCGTGGTCTAACAATTGTTGTGTAAAATTTTATTTTTAGCCTCAAAATTATTTAATGATATCATGAGACTTCTGACATCCCTCGCTATTTTAACAATCAAGTTTTTACTTTATGAATAATATTTTTATCAATCTCTTCATCTTATTAAATATTTGATCCAAGATACGTAAGGCTTACTTAAAGAAACTTCTTATCTATCCAACTTATACCTATATTCTTTTTCCTTTTGCTAATATTACTAAAATTATATCTCATATATTTAGTTTTAATCCTACCTAATCTAAAACTTTTAGTTACCAAGGAAAGAATGCCCTTACAATTCAAGTTTAAAATTAATTTCATTTAAACTATCGTTAACTATGACAATATCATCAGCAATAACATGTCTATCCATTATCAATATTAAAATGTAGGGATTTAATGTGGATCATTAATGTAATCTTATGTTAATAGGAAACTCACAAGACAAACTCTTTATATTTTTAATACTAGTGGCTATATTATCATATATATCGTTAATAATATCAATATAATTAGTGCACATATCTTTCTTTTCTAAAACCCATCATAATAAATCCAAAAGAACTCTATTGTTAGCTTTTTGTAAATCAATAAGAACCACATGCAATTTTTTTCTCTATATTTTTCTTTAGTTGTCTTAATAAATAAATAGCTTGATCTTCTGGGCATCCAAAATTATTTTTTTAGTATTTAATAAATGAATGTTGTAAAAAAGAACAACTAATACCATTTATGTAAAAATAAATGAAGGCTTATGTTAGCGTAGTCTAATTTCAGCGAGGACTTTATTGATTAAAACTTTTTTTGGCTTATTTCTTTTTCGACTATCATCCGCTACGTAAGATTTTAGTACTATCTAGAGCTGCTGCTAACCTACCTATGTAATTTGGACATTATATTGACCTTATGTTGTAGCTAGTCTTTAGTCCTTTGCATGTACTGATGGAGACAATTAGAAATGGAACAGTGAGAGACTAGAAGGGTGGGGTGATTGACTGTTCACTAAGTGCGATGAAGGCTGATATCAGGCTGATATCAGCCACCGTGGTTTCCCATTGCACAATTATAACTCCATATGTATAGGTTGAATTAAAAAAGAAAAGTATAGGTTGAATTATTTTTCGTTTCTCATAAATATTGCATTACTAATTTCAAAGGGTGATGACACAAGTGGTTCTTTCTTTTCTGCTTGTGATGTGTTTCAAATTTGAGGCACAAAGGTCCTATCACGTGGTCAGATCTCTGAGAGGGGGTCTTAGGTACAAAAGTGTTCAGGCTACCTTTTTTTTTCTTTATTTGTTATTAGTTCAATCTTTGTCTCTGTTATTCATCTTTGCTCTTTTCCTTCCCTTTATGCTAGAAGGTCATTCTGATGCTAGGTCATGCATGCTCTACAAACTTATTGCAGATGTGTAGCTCTATCCCTTTTGTTAATAGCAATCCCCTATTCTGATCTCATTTCTGGCTTCATGTTGTAAGAACCATTATATTGCTGCTCAATCCACAATTAGCCTTCAGTTGGTCATCAATGCTATTTTTCTTCACTGTCATCTTTAGCTCTGAACGCATGATTTGGTGAAATTTCTTGTTTTAGACTGAATTTGAAAAATTAAATCTGGAAATTCTGCAATCTGTGTTCTTTGACTTATCTTTACTTTGGGTTCATCACATGCCTTGTTGAGATAAACTTGGGTACTTGATTATCTATATTTTGTTCCATCAAACACATATTTCAACCTGAACAACATGAAAACAGGTGCAAGAGTTCTTTTCTGGTACCTTCCCTGGTTTGATTGTATTATTTTAGGGAATATGTCGTCGAGCTGCTGGGTGCATTATCATTGGGTTTTTTTTATATAATGTGGGCATCATTCTATCTCCCCTTTGGAGAGGCTGAGTGAGATTAGTCGTTGGTGTGAATTTGCTACTGTGAGTTTTGGTGATCTTCAGTTTCTAAATCATAGTATTGTACTACATAGCTATCAGTCATAGATTATTTTCATGTTTTTATTGTCAAATATCTGCCCAGGAACTCTTCTTAGCTGCATCCATCTTTTCTTGCTCAGGGGTTCTTTCATGATCTTCTTCAATTGTCTTTTGTGTTTTTTACTTGCATATGTACCTGATGGGGATGCCTTTAATGTGTTGTCTTAAGATGTACTGTTATATGTGCACACCTTTAAACCTACCTTTTTTTGTGTTAAACTCTCTGAGTTAATTGTCATCAGTGCTGAAATTTCATCATCTTTGGCATGAAAGAAGATCTAAAGATTCACTTGTAAAATTCTCAATTGATCCCTTTTTTCACAGGATACATGCAAATTATTTAAGGCTTGTTTCTTAGACAAAAATTGAAATAATTTTAGAAGCTTTTTGTTCATATTTAAACGATAAGATTTTAATAGTTGTAAAGCCCATTGGCAGTTGTTTAAGTAAAAAGTAGGTTTTTAGACTTATACAAATAGATCATAAATTTGTCGGAATTTATGTGGTAAAGGGGAATTTTGTGAGTTGTACATATACAAAAAGTTATCCTTAATTTTTTTATTAATATTTTCTTGCATGGGAAAGTTGCTTCGGTGTCATCATATATTTATACTTTACCACATTGTTGCATGACAAATGAATTTTATCCTCTTCATTTTATTCTACTCATTTATGCTGTAAAGTAATAAAAAGCCATGTAACAGATGGTTCTTAAAGCCATTCATTTTTTTGCTGTTTCATAATAATATGTACTCGAATACACTTTTAGAGTTTTGATGTTACGCCACTATTTTGCTAAGATTATGTTTCTCCTAATGAGAAAGAATAAAAACTGTGTCCATTGCTGTGCTTATTCGATATCAATGAATGTTCACCAAGTAGTCTCTGGTGGGTGAGTGTGTGTGTGTATATGCGCTTGTATAAAGAGATTTAATTGTCTTGTGTTCAATTAATTGTAGTTCCTGTGTGCACTGCAGTAAATCAGGTTGCTAACGTGAGATGTGGCCATTGTCATACAACTCTGATGTATCCTTACGGAGCACCATCTGTCAAGTGTGCCATATGTCATTATGTGACAAATGTCGGGGTAAAATTTGAGACTGTAGTTTGTTCTTGCCACCGCTTTTCATAATTCACCATCTTACTGTCGAACATCTTTAAGCTCACAGTTCTTTTTCTGAAGTATTTTGGGTTTCCCTATTTACCTATTTATAGCAGATGGATGGTATGAGACTCCCGGTGTCAACCATGCATAGGCTTAATGGACCGACACCTGCGCCACCTTCAGCTGTATGCTCCCCTAATTCTCTTCCTGGAAACCAAATTGCTTTGATGGGCAACATCTATTTTGTCTTCATACACTGACTTTACTTTCCTTTCCTTTCTACAGTCTGCTTCTCAAGTGCAAAACACGACGGTTGTTGTTGAGAACCCAATGTCAGTCGATGAAAGTGGCAAACTGGTAACATTTTAGTCTTGACTGCCGTACATTCTAAAATCACAGGTCGCTGAATCAACTACCAATATACTATGGTGCAGGTTAGCAATCTTGTTGTCGGAGTGACCACTGGAAAAAAGTGACATTTGTTTCCACATATCGTCTTGGTATTTAAGATTGTAAAGTTGGAGATTGAAGTTATCGAATTTGCTGGACAACCGATGCAATGCCCCTGGCACCATATTCTTTTAATTTTGTAAATTATATGCAATATGCACTGCAAAGTTGCAACTTCTGATAGTATATACATATATAAGTTAAAAGGGGGACATGTTTATGGTTAATTACCCCCATGCTGGCTATCTTATGTATGCTTGTCTTGATGTAATGAATTAATTGTTCCTTGATTTTGTGTAAGGTTACTAGTTATGTCCATTTCATATTGACACACGGTGACACTGCAACATGTAGCTTGCAATCTTAGTTCTTTTTGTTGGATAATAGTCGTCCTCCACTTGCCATTACAATGTAATCTTCCAACAGAAATGTCCACAGATGGATGCTATTATGTCAACAAGAGTCGTGCATGATTAAATACCTGATAGTTGGTTGCCACACAGAAAGCTTTTGAATGTCAAACTGTGAGGCTTACCTGATACGGACGGATAGTTCATCAATCGTTATACATGATTGCGTGCTTGATAGTTCCATTAAATAATAAAGCTTTCTTTATGTGAGCTGTCCAGTTGTACATCTTCTGAATGGTTTTGGCATAATGTTTCTTCTTAACCACTTGGCAGCCCTTCTCTTCCTACGCTTTGTCCCCCCCACCCAACCCAAAACTCTCATGTTGTTGTTTCATGAGATTGATGAAGTGTCGTATTCTATTTTCCTGTTTTCTAGAATGTTCAAGATTCTAATCACAATGAGAATTTGATTGCAGGATCTTATGACCATAAATAGTTTGTTGTTTATGTATATCATCAGACTACCACGAAGAATTTATCTCCATTATCATGTTCGTTTTTTGCTATAAATTTAAAATCCCCATATAAACAAACTAATTTAGTTAGCAAAACCAAAACACCCAAATCCAAAAAAGCGAAGTCCTTTTTGCGTGCTTGATAGTTCCATTAAATAATAAAGCTATCTTTCTGTGAGCTGTCAGTTGTACATCTTCTGAATGGTTTTGGCATAATGTTTCTTCTGAACCACTTGGCAGCCCTTCTCTTCCTACGCTTTGTCCCTCCCACCCACCCCAAAACTCTCATGTTGTTGTTTCATGAGATTGATGGAGTGACGTATTCTATTTTCCTGTTTTCTAGAATGTTCAAGATTCTAATCACAATGAGAATTTGATTTCAGGATCTTATGACCATAAATAGTTGGTTGTTTATGTATATCATCAGACTTCCACGAAGAATTTTATCTCCATTATCATGTTCATTTTTTTGCTATAAATTTAAAATCCCCATATAAACAAACTAATTTAGTTAGCAAAACCAAAACACCCAAATCCAAAAAAGCGAAGTCCTTTTTCTTAAAATATATTTGTTTTTTTTTTTATCATATATTAATCATAAATAAATTGAAAAACAAATAGAAAAAAGAAGCTGGGGTGAGAGAGGCTCGAACTCTCGACCTCAGGATTCCTCACTGAAGCTATGAGACCTACGCGCTAGCCAACTGCGCCACCACCCCATGCATGCTAATGATAGAAGATTCAACTAATGTAGTTTACTCTGTACCTCATAACAATTTATGAGTCTGTATCTTTGGTATTACTGTCTTCCTACATATCGGCTTCGTCGTGTGGCACACAGTCCAACATATTATGACTTGCACTGCTGGACGATGGATCGATCTTATTTGTCGTGATGAGATATTTAACTCATTGAGTCTGAATGTAATCTTACATTGTTCTACAAGGGTCGATCTACAAAAGCTCTGCCGTCTCCAATTCCTCCAGTTTTCTCGGTCAAATCTTTCGATGTTTTACCTCACGACCAACCACTTGCTAGCACCACATGGTTTCCAGGATCTGTGATTTGAGCTCATCTCTCTCTCTCTCTCTCTCTTTCTACATATAAATATAGATCGTATGGATGTAAGATTCTCCACGACTCCTTCCTTTGATCCCTCCTCACCCTCTCCCTCGCTTCATATCCATCACAACATCCAAGAGACGATGGCCCAAGCAGTAAGAGGACAAGACGATGCAGAATTTGGACAAGCTCAGCTCATCCGGGAAGCAACCACTCAGAACGTGAACCCACAACAGGTTTTCGTTTTTTTCCGCAAGTCGTGTTCTTGCTTATGCTGCACTTCCTTGAGGTTTCATGTTTGTATTGGAAGAGTTCGTTGGTTCGTTCGTTTCGTCGCAATGTGGTAATACAATTGGGCAATACAAGTGCATTTTGATGATTGCTAGAGTCAGCAAGAACTTGGAACACTATTGCCACAGTTGGGCGATGGTCTGCCGACGAGCTGTCTTTAACGAAGGAAAGCAGTGAGACAGCGTAGATTGTGCTTACTTCTTGTTGTTCCTTCTCTCCTTACATGTAAATGATCGTTGCAGGTGCTCGGCCATGCAACCACCCATGATCAGCTGTGTGATGCCATGCATGAGAATCTGCTGAACACTGAGACTGAATCGAAGACGGGGAGGACGATCTCTGACCTGTCTCTGCAAGCGAGGGGAAGGTCTCTGAGCACCCCAAGTTCTGCCAAATTCTGAGATATCCCATCCATGACAGATCGATCCAGGACTCGCAGCCGGCGTGCAGGAGATGATGCTACCTTAGCAGTATAAACCTACCGACAAATGTTTTGTAATCTACCTTCGATCTTGCATTGTCACATTGTGCTCTCGACTGTTGTCATGATCATCATGAGATAAAATCAATCTGTTTTTGCAGTTCATAAGTGACAGAATAATAAACACGATGCTTTGCATCCATCAGCATGGGATTGACTTTGCTGCAACTCCATGAATAGCATTGGATTTCTCCAACCATGATGAAGAGACTTGCTGATCGACGAGGCATCAGCTCATCCTTTCATTTAATAATCCAGTCCTTCTTCTCCCTCCCACACAAGAAAACCCCTTTGTGAGACAAAGATGTGAAGCATCATCAGACCTGAAGAACATGCAACTCATGGTTTCCAGCATGAAAATAAATATCAAAAATCAAAACCACATGAGACAGCTCAAGGAGGCATTATAGATAAGACTCCATCCAATCTGTCAAGATTCCAATCCTCCTCTCAAGTCAGTTCTAATATGACTGGAATTATTGGATCAACTTCACATGAAATTTAGGAGCATTGCAAACTCTTTTTCTCTCACTCTCTCTTTCTTTCTTTCGACAGTCTTTGTTGCGTGTTTGCTTCCAATCCGGCTTTATTCGGAAATTGACAGAGACAAGAAATGCTATCACATCAGCACATACCATTTTGTCCTTACATTTATATATATATTTAATTTCTTATGTTATATATTCCTTTTATTTATTTATACTCATCAAAAAAATTAGGTTGACTTAATAACAGATCATATTAAAAATATATAGATAAAGTTGCATATAAGAGTTAAATCTAAAGTAAGTGAAAAAATAAGTTCAAAATATACTTTATTGAATGAATATAAATATAATTTTAAACTAATTTCTTAAGTTAACGCTGCTCATAAGACCAGACCACAAGAGAAGCCCACAAATGCACCCAGATGATCTCGTCCGTTAACTCATCGATCTCAATGACTATGATGCGGACACAACACCCCCTCGTGGCCGCCAATGCTCGAGCTGATCGGGGTGTGTTTTAGGGTATTCATTTGAAAGGCAGTCGCTCCTCCGAAACGAGCCGCGTGGGGACAACCTGTCAGCCGAAAGCGCGTGTCGTACCGATGGGTACTCTTTTGGGTCCGGCGTTTTGGGTCTCCGACGCGAAACGCGTTGCTTGGCCGTGAGGGTATCCCCGTGAGTGAGAAGTTAAAATGGGCTCTTTTGCACATACATCCCTATGCAGACACATAATTTTTATAGTAATAATATTTTGTTTATCTATTAAATGAATTCAATAGTTAATCGAAGCACAAAACCACGAAAAAAAAAAAATGCTATAATAGTGGATGGATGACATGAGAGAGAGAATTTTTTTTTAACATAATTTATATGTGATTATAATTAAATGTTTGATTTTATGGAGTAACCATGAAAATAAATACATGGAAGGGGTGTATGTGCAAAAAGAGCCATGACATGTCGTCTTTTTCCTTTTTTGTGTTTTTACCGTTGCCATTTTAATGGGCTTATTCTTGATTTGATCGCGTGGTGGGAGGAAGGTGCAGGGCAAGCGGGCGAAGCCTCGAGGGTAGTGGTAGTGGTGGTGGTCGCGGAGTGCCAAAGCGACGCCGGTGCCGATCGGATCAGCGCGCTGCGAAAGGAAAGGGAAGAATTCAGTCTATCGACGATCTTGAGATCCAGGTAGGGAGTTGTTCCCCCACTGGAACGCTCCGATTTGGTGTTTTCTTGGTCGAGCACGGTCAGCTGCTGTAGTAACTCCACCAACTCTCCGGATCTTGGCATTTTATAGGCTCAAATTGGTCTCCCGGAAGAGGAATCTTCAAGTGGTAAGATTTTGAGTGGGTTTTGAGTGAGATTTTGCTGTTTCTTGTTTGAAATCAGGTGTGCGTATAGGTTTCGATGCGAACAAATCTCGTCTTTATTGGGAATTTCAGAGCGGATGTTCGGTGCTCTGAGGTTCTTTGTTCCGTTCAAGGAATTGCCGTATTTGGTGCCCATACTATGTCCTGTTTGGTGTAGATTGGGATGTCTAGATTAGAATCACTGTATCTCTGGTTTATGATTTTGATCTTTGGAAATGTTCTGGTTGTGATCGAAGATGGATTCCGCGAGAAGCTGGTTTCATAAATTGCAACCTCGAGGGGAGAAAGTCAAGCCTGGACCGGCGAAGAAGGAAGCAGGAAGCGTGAAGGATATGCAGAAGCCACCAATTGATGAGGCGCCTTCGAACATCACGAAGCAGAAGGTTGCCGCCGCGAAGCAGTACATCGAAAACCATTACAAGGCCCAGATGAAGTCATTACAAGATCGAAAAGAGAGGTGATTCTTTCTGATGTATACTTCTCTTTTTGACCTTCTTCTGAAGGGTTTCTACTTTCTAGGTTTTGGGTTATGGCATCGGAAATCTTTATTCTAAGAAAAGATGAAGGCTCAAACCACTGATCTCTGTGTTTGACTAAACTGCTATGTTGCCTCTCTGTGGAACCCGTTAGAGTCGATGCATAATTTTGTTAATGCACTTGTTTCAGCGAATTGTATGATGTGAACCATTCATTCTCTTGGACGTCTCAGAGAACTCCACTAGTAGAAACCTTTCCTTGTTTACATGCACCATTCATCAGATAAGAGTTGATCTTGAAACCACATATAAACTGAAGCTATTTGTCACTTTTCACAATCCATATGGTCTGGCAAATTTGCTGTTGACTAGTAGTTGGCTTTCAACCATCTAGCTTGCATCTTCATGTCTATCAAATGTGTTATTCATCAGCTGGAAAGAACTATCACCCTGTTAGCATCAAGGAAAGTTTTTCTTTTGATGGCACAGATATTGTTTTCACTTAAGTCTATAAAATTAGATATATTTCCAGTACAAATCAATTGGTAATGCTTTCATTTGCCTCATTGCCTTCATTGTGTTATTGACTCTTCTCTGTCAATTGTGTCATAATTGTTTCCTCATTTCTACTTACACCTTCTGACAATACTTTTGTGTCTTTCCCTTTACCTTGATTTTCTGACTTGAATTTCTTTTTTCACAAGCTGTAAGGTTGTGAGTATTTGGGTCAGTGACATGGATATTCTCCAACCATTGGTCTTGTTGAGAGCAACACTAGACAAATTCAGAGTCATATTTTTTCTCTTTCTATTGTTTCTAATAAGGTTTTCTTTGTCCTGTACTGGTCTTCTAGTACTATTGACTCACCCCGTTCAGTTGGTGCTCTACAGGTCTCCTTTGACGTTGTATTATTTATTAGTACTAAGTCATATGCATGATAAGCATTACATGCAATACTGTCTCCTTGGAATATCAGAAATATAGTTTTGAAGTAAAGAGATATCTTTTGGTTGATATATTCCTAAGGCACATCTGCATTAAGTTCATTTGTTTATTTTGCTCAAGTACTTTGGTTTCAAGAGTTCTTTATACATGTCATAAACAGTTTCAGGTTTAGACAGACTTCTATCTGAGTATTGCCTTCTAGCCTCTTAATATGTAGTCTTCAACTAAATATTAGCATCAGTATTTTTTTTCCTGACTATACACATCTATTTTAATGTGTAAGAAAAAATTTACCCTTGATATTGTTGCTCTTTTCCTTGGCCTATATTCCTCACCTCACCACCTTTATTTATATATTGGTCATGTCAATATGTGGGCTCAAACTACATATTGATAACCATTAGATTGTCTAAATTCTTTGACTTGCCAAATATTGAAAGAATGGCCTGCAAAGGACTTTTGCAATGTTCTAGTTCATATACCTTTCCCTTCATAATTTTACCTGTTTTTTCAGTTCCTTGTAATTATCTTTCATGACCTTTTTTTGGAAGATCAAGTGAGGTTCAATTGGTAGCCAATTGCTTTTATTGCTTCTCATTATTAATCATTACCTTTCTTATTTCTCACGTATGACCGGTGCCTTACATTCTTCCTTGCAATGGTTTTTGGATTGCATTTGACACTATGACATTGTTATTTGTGCCTCTTATTCTAAGACTGGTTTTCATTTCTAAATGCTTAGTTTTTTTAATGGATTGGTGGAGTAAACACTTTTCACTTAAACATTTGTTTTTGTTTCAATGGATGCTAATTTCAGGCGCTGGATGTTGGAGAGGAAGCTTGCTGATGCAGAAGTTTCTGAGGAAGAGCAGAACAATATTCTGAAGAATTTAGAAAAGAAAGAGACAGAATACATGCGTCGTCAAAGGCATAAAATGGGAGTAGATGACTTTGAACTTCTGACCATCATTGGAAGGGGGGCCTTCGGAGAGGTTATTTTATGCTTAAGTTCCCGCATTCTCAGTTACATAGTGTGTCATTGAATTTGTTGGGGCGAAAATTTTATCTTCGACATCATGAGACACTTGTCCGTTTTCTATTGCATAATATATAGATATACTGAATTACTGATTACGACTAATATCTAAATCAAAATTTTAGGGAACTGGAAAAGATTGTTGTTAATATTTTATGCCTTAATCTGCTGCAAAGGTTGTTCAGTCTGCTAGAAGAGTTTGTTTGGTCTGCCCTTCCTTCTAAACTGACTTAATCTACATGGTTTTTAATTGTAAAGTGGCTGTATGTTTGCCATTTAGTGCAAGCTTCTGATCTTTGAAGAGCTTGCTTTTATTTTTGGATGCAAGGTCAATTTTCCTAATGCTGTTGTTTTTCCTTTCTCCTTTCTCTTGGAACTAGCCTTCAAATTTCTTATTTGGATGTTCCTTGTGAGTTTTAATTGGATTGTTGGATAGCATACTTTTATTATGCTTTTGGCTTGATGATCAAAACTTAGCTACCACTGATTGCCCAACTGGACGATTGATCTGGCTTCATCATAATTATGCAGGTGAGGATTTGTAAAGAGAAAACTACTGGGCATGTCTATGCAATGAAAAAGCTTAAAAAATCTGAAATGCTTCGCAGGGGTCAGGTATAGTTTTATACTTCTATTGTCATTTGCCCATAACTTACATAAATTTTTACAATCCATCGACCTACTTCTGCATGCTTTGTAGGTGGAGCATGTGAAAGCTGAAAGAAACCTACTTGCAGAGGTGGATAGTGCCTACATAGTCAAACTCTTATTTTCTTTTCAAGATGAAGAGTATTTATATCTCATCATGGAGTATCTTCCTGGCGGTGACATGATGACTTTACTTATGCGTAAGGATACATTGACAGAGGATGAGGCCAGATTTTATGTTGCAGAAACAGTATTAGCAATTGAATCTATTCATAAACATAATTACATTCACAGGTATGCCTCTTCCAATGCTTATACTTTTCTCTCTTCTTGAACAACACTGGTTTAATTAACCTTGGTAGTATCTTTCCAGGGACATTAAACCAGACAATTTATTGTTAGACCGACATGGTCACATGAAGCTCTCAGATTTTGGCTTGTGCAAACCTCTGGATAGTAGTAGTTTTCCAAATCTCAATGAGCCTGAACATGCAATGGGAAGAAATATCAGGCCTACTCTGGATGATAAGCGATTTAATGTCGCTCCTGCTCCTAGGCGTACTCAACAGGAACAATTACAACACTGGCAAAAGAACAGACGGATGCTGGTAAAATTCAAAATTTTTTTTACTTTAGATTGGCTGGTTGCATTTTACTTTAGAATTTGTGATTGTTGTTCACTGTAGAATTTTGCTTAATGCTTTTAGATGGACCTTTTAAGTTTTAACTATTCAATTTGAGATTATATGACTTCTTTATTTACTTGAACAATTATAATAAGCATTCTGAGAAAGCAAATTACTGCACAGACGGTCCTGTGAATGTTCATTAAGCATAAACAAGAAAGCCCTATTCCTTTTTGGGTTAGCTTGAATATTTTATGGTGATAATAGTTGATGACTAAAATTAGAGGTATGTCATGCCACTAGTACAAATACTTGCCTCACCAACATGAATACTCTATTTTCATTTTATTTCTACCTCATAATTTGAAGTTTAGAACTTAACCTCTTACTTCTTTATAGCTAGTTACTAAATTGCCACTTTATGTTTCTCATCCAAAATCCATGGCAATTTATGTTTCCATGCTTAGAGGAGATATTTTAGCATCTTTTTTTATGCTAGCATTTTCTCATTTTGTTGTATGATCTTTTCTGAATACAGGCTTACTCAACTGTTGGCACACCTGATTACATTGCTCCAGAAGTTCTGTTAAAGAAAGGATATGGAGTGGAATGTGACTGGTTGGTTCTCCTATTTTCTGTTTGGAAAATATATGTAAATGTCCTGACAGCATGTTATTTTTAGGTGGTCGCTTGGAGCAATTATGTATGAAATGCTTGTAGGTTACCCGCCATTCTATTCTGAAGATCCAATGTCGACATGTAGAAAGGTCTGTTGTTTTGTCACAAACATTTTCACTTTTTTTTCCCAATTTGAAATCGAGGATTTGATTCTGGATAAGTGGTTAACTCGCTTTTTGTCTGATAGATTATGACTCTGGTCGTGATGCCCCTTGAACTTTACTTAGTTAAGTTAGATTTAGAGGAAAAAAAGAAGAACAATAAGCATAATACAGTCTCTCTGACTTGAGCTTTTATTCTGAGATGGGCATCTATAATTTCTTTTTCTGAATCCAGCTTGTACTTCAATATTATACTCACGCCTCCATGATATATCATTTGTCATTATAACACAGATCTTTCTAAGTTGCCCAGGATTGCTGTTAGAGCATACTTAAAACATCCACAGTTCACCCTTTGAAATCAGCCTTGGTGGGTCGGATGGACCTGAATTACTTGTTGAAATGGCTATTGTTTTTCTTTTCAAATAATTTGAATCACTTGTAGTAACGAGCTGTTATCTAGGTTCTTGAATTTAATATGTATTTCAGTTCTTTGCTTCCATTGTACTGGGTCAATAGCTTGGTTCATCTTACCGGTTTGTATTGGTGTACCGACCAGCTATCAGTATCGTACGTACCTAGCCATACCGACCTGTACCGAGTGTATCGATGTGGTACGGTGGGATGTACCAATGTACCACCCATATCGGTCTCCTATTGGACTAGTACGTACCGCCCATACCGAGTGGTGCATCTCGATACGACGAACCTCGGTCAATAGTAATAAATTACCTTTAGTGCGCCTTCACTATTGCTATAAAGGGCTAATTACAGATTATCCCTTGTAATTAGCTATGTTTAGCATTCCGGTCCCTACATTTTTAAAAATTACATTTAGTTTCCTATACTTACGAAAGTGAAATTTTGAGATCTCTATACAAAGTTAAAAATCAAGAAAGAGAGAAGGGCTTTGTTGGAGCAACGGGTTAAATATTTCACTTTCGTAAGTAAAGGGATCTCAATATAACTTTTGAAAGTATAGGGATCGAGATGCTAAAGGTAGCTAACTACAGGGGGTAATATGTAATTAGCCCTGCGATAGATTCCTGTCCTGTCTCACCTGCATATGACTAGAATGTTGTTGCAATTAACTTATCGATATATGCTTCCACTCATCATGCAGAGAGCAAGATATTATCTTCACGGTGCCATCCTAATTCATCATGCAGGGGCCAGGAGTCCAATTCTTTTGGCTTCATCCTTGATATGGAGTCACTGACATTAACAAATTTGTCTTTCTCCTTCTACCATATCATTAAAAACTCATATCAACTATAGTTTCGGCGAACTTTGCTCAAGCAACCAACCCTATTAAGTGCAATTTGCTCTAGTCCCCACATTTATGTTAATTATATACAAGATTAGATCTGATCAGAATGGTGTCTGCATTATGATACCTTCAGAGATCTTTTGGGCTGTCACCACCTCTATTAAAATTGAACATTAAATTTGGTGAAATTTGATCCTCTAACAAGAACATTGGAACTGCTATGCTTGCTTAATCCTTTGGTTGGTCAAAGACATTTAGGGCAATGGCTTTTGCACCTTACCAGCAATTACATAAGATACTTGGAAATTTTACAGCAGGAATTCCCATTTTGTGGCATGGACTGTTTTGGCACAGTATGTGTCATGCTAGGCCTGTTGGCCTGCCCCCTGTGTGGGTCAAGACATGCCAAAAATTGGCATGGCCATGTCTCAGCATTGTTGGCATGGCTCACTGTAGCTCGACAGGTTTCAGCACTGATAGGCATGTGCCAGTTTGTGCCACAACAATCCCTTGCTCTGATTTAACAGACCTAGAGCTTTTCTTTTGGCAAACTGCATATGGGAATTTAGTCTTGATCTAGAAGGACTTTCGAAGTTTCAATAACTGGCTAAAGTGTTAGTACTGTTTTAATATGTTAACATTGATTTGCTTTTCTCCTATTTTGCAGATTGTAAACTGGAGAAACCACTTAAAGTTCCCTGAAGAGGCTAAGCTTTCATCTGAAGCTAAAGATCTTATTAGCAGACTTCTATGCAATGTAGAACATAGACTTGGGACAAAAGGTGCTCATGAAATAAAGGTCTGTACTTTTGAAGGTATCTTTGATGGCCAGTTTATACCGATTCTGTCCAAAGTTATTATTAATTTATTATTGCCATTGTGGTCCATTTCAGGCGCATGTATGGTTTAGAGGTATCCAGTGGGAAAGTCTATACGAGATGGATGCTGCTTTCAAACCAGAGGTCAACGACGAGTTGGATACTCAAAACTTTGAGAAATTTGAGGAGGTATACTGATTTGAGAATTCTTGGATCTATACAGTGTTAATTTGTTAGCAACGAGAAATGTTATTTTGTGAATAAACATACATTGAAACCAGTTATGTTTTAATGGCTTCACCTGTTTTATTGATGTGTGGTGCAATCTGTTGCATCTCTTCTTGTTCCTGTTACTTTGACTTGGGACTGCATTTGTGTTGTTGTCTCTTTGCTCTGTCACTACTCTAGTCCTACTTACCATGTAGAACCTACATGAAACTTGTGCCACAGTATTAACATGTAAATAAAGTATATTTTTGAACTTTACCATTTTATTCTTTTCTAGGTTCTGTATAATTGGATGTTGTAAGTTGTGTAAGATGGTAATGAAGGAGATGATTTCTGTGCATGACAATATATATGTTTTTCAGCAGATGGATTTTCTTAGAATGTATTGGATACAAGACTCTTCGTGTGATTTTTCTATTTGTATTAGGAAGCACTTGCCGACTTAAATGGATTTTTGAAGATTACTTTCATAATAAAGGGAAAATATTATCATCAATTTTCGAAGTATATTTTCATGCCTATTCTTTCGCGAAACTTCAATTGACTTGCATTATGATGCAGACCTCTGCTCCAGTCGAGACTTCTTCAAAGTCTGGCCCATGGAGGAAGGTATGTTTTTGCTTTGTTGTCTCCTATAAAATATATATTTTCTGATATGATAATGATTATGCTTTACAGGAGATTGTTAAGTGTCTTGCTCTTATATGTTAATGTGTGAGGTATAATTTTTAAGTTGATTCCATATGGTTATGTACCTGTTCAAGTTGAAGTTTTGCTGATTATGGAATTCATTAGTGTTGATATGGATCTCCACTGGAATCATTATGATTCATGATTGACACTTAGTGTTCTATTGCATACATGGTTTTGTCTCTTGGCATTTGTATGCAGTTATTCTTGTAGCTACTAAACAATCAGTGTCTTGTGATTGACTTGTCTAAAAGAAATCTATCAATTGCCATATGAATTCAGGATTTATTGGTTTCACTTTTGACTGTAAAGGTTTTTCTTTTATTAACGATAGAATCTTTGGTCAGTTTGGTTTATGATGCAGTGCATTATTTGTATTAGGACCTATGTGCAGATAGAAAGATGGGAAAGTAAAAAAATCTTGAAATGAACAATCTAGCCTTTGATGTGGAAAATGTACATGGTGTTGTCAGTTGTAAGGTAAAGATCTTTCATAATATATTGAATACCCAATAATTAATGTAGCTCAACACTCCTAAAGCTGTTTCCCTGTAATGCTTTAGCTTTTTGTTTGAACAGAAGTTATTGCTCTTTACTTGGCTGCAATTGGTAATCTTGCTCAGAATATCAAAAAAATTAATTTAAAATTTAAGTCAGATTATATATTTTAATTGCAATTATGTATGTTTAAATGTTAATTGTTTTCCTTTTTCATATTACAGATGCTTCCATCTAAGGATGTAAACTTTGTGGGCTATACATACAAAAATTTTGAAATTGTAAACAACCATGAAGTTCCAGGGATTGGTTGTTCTCTCTCTTCAACTTTCTTGAGTTACTGTCTTGTCAATTCTCTTACAGTTTTATTATGCATCATTTATATACAGCTGAACTGAAGAAAAAGAGTAACAAGCCAAAGAGGCCAACCATCAAATCATTGTTTGGTAATGACCTTTCTTACCTTTTCTAATTTAAGTTGGGTTATATCATCACAATCATTACTCTGCTCATCTGGTCATGCAGACATGGATATATCTCCGGCAAGTCAGCCTATCCAAGGAAGTTTTCTCAAACTATTGCCTACGCAGATGGAGATGCCCGAAAGCCTAGAATCATCCCCTCACTCCAGCAGTTCTTCACTGGATCAACCTCAATTTCGAAATCGATAATGCTAAGAGCTCTGCAAGCTACTTGTTAATATCCAAAACAACTAATTTTTGCAACTTCCTTTTGTCTACATATACCAAGACCTTCAGTTATCATCTTCCATCATCCTGTATAAGAAGTGGTGCCATACAGATGTTGGCTTGGTTACTTGTAAATTTGTGGTTCCAATTTCATAAAGGTTAGCTTTCAGATTTTTTTAATTTTTGTAACGATGGATTTAAGCTGACATGAGATATAGCTTTGTAATGTGAATTAACTATCGAGAACAGATGGTTACTCTTTTTCTCATTTGTGCAATATCACATGCTTTTTTGTATTAATTTTCAGATTGTGCAAATAGCAACTTATGGAGGGCTATAGATACATTCATTCATTGCATAATAAAAATCATTTCTATGTGAGGTGTCGTTATTTAGGTTTCTTGTTTGGCTCATTAGCTATAGTCAGTGTGCTCTTTATCAGTCTATTCTTAGTAGATATCTCTGTTTAAGGGTCAAGTTGAAGCAAATGATCCATCAAATGCCACCATTTCAATTTTGCTTTGTGTGTGTGTGTTGCCTAATAAAATCAAATTTTCCAAATAAAGATGTCATAATTTGTAAGTATTAAGCTTCATATAAGAATTAAAAAATGATTTTTTTAATATTAACAATCAATGGTTAAACAGATATTGATTAGTGAAAAAAACAATTTCTCTCTTTTTATTTTTCTTTTCAAATTGGGAGAAATTTCATCGGATGAGAAATTTTCTTGGTCACCACAACGTATAGTCACGTGTTTTTCACGTGTCGCTTATCTTATAGAGTGGTGCAGCGCTCGTGTTTCCCTCGTCCGCTTCTCCTGTTGTGCTGCGACAGAGCGCAGCGCGAAGCGGCGGGCGATGGCGGCGGCGAGGGTTTTGGGATCCGCTCTGATAGGGCTGAGCTGGCAGCCGTCCTCCGCGTCGTCGTATTGCTCGGGCTCCTCGTCGCTTCTCCTCCGCTGGCAGTGGCGGCGGCTCTTCTCGTCTTCGGGCTCGAGGCTCAGCATGAGCCTCAAAGCCGGCATCGTCGGTCTCCCGAACGTCGGCAAGTCCACCCTATTCAATGCCGTAGTAAGCTCCTTTCTCACATTCTTGTGGGCACAACACTACGCTTCCTGCTTCCGATTCTCTTCCTCAAGTGTATCGAGGAATAGAGAGAAAACGAAGCTGGCATCTTGATCGGCAAGCGCCGAGAAAGGTTGCGACTTTCCCGGTGTAGATGTCTCTGTCAGTTGTCAGGAATTATGAATGGGATTTGCGAGGGCGTGTTCGGTGTTATGACACAAGGATTGGTTGTGGTTTCTGCTGTGGAATTTGCAGTTGTTTGGCTTTTTTTCATAACTTGGTGATCTTTTTAGTGTTTTGTCTTATGACTTGATTCTTGTTTTCAGGTTGAGAATGGTAAAGCTCAGGCAGCGAATTTTCCTTTTTGTACAATAGAGCCAAATGTCGGCATAGTCGCGGTCCCTGATCCACGACTCAATGTTCTTGGGGGGCTCAGCAAATCTCAGCGGACAGTCCCAGCGTCTATAGAGTTTGTTGATATTGCTGGCCTAGTGAAAGGAGCAAGTCAAGGAGAGGTAAAATGTTTGATATCATTTCTATCCTCATATTCAAAAGAGAAGTCATTTAGCATGTTCCTGCTTATGATTGTGTCTTTTTGATGTTAAAGTTGCAGCAGAAGCATAATCCATTTCATAGATCATCTTTGATCTTTTCAAAGTTACTCTTTTTTAAAATTTTATGGAGGAACAAACTTACAGTTGTGACATGTTTTCTAAGATTATTTAATTGAAACTACTTCATCGTAGTTGGATGTATATGCTTGATTTATAGTTGCCAGTGATCCGTACGGGGTTCAAGTTTGACGATCTATCGATCCGATATCACCTCTCAAATGGAAGTTTTGGCAGAGGAGAGAAATATCACTAAGAAACAAGCATGAAACCTAAAGAAAAACAACTTCTATTGCTTGTAAAGTTAAAGTGCCAATTATAAAGGCTAAAACAGTGGAATAAAAGAAATGGAATAAGTGGAGCACTTTCTGGTTGTGTAGTTATTGTGTATACTTATGTTTAGATAATTGTTACATATCATGTTGATCTTGATTTAGGCCATAGTCATTTTCTCATTTGTTTTTGTCATTTGCAGGGTTTGGGAAATAAATTCCTTTCGCACATTCGTGAAGTGGATTCCATACTTCAGGTTAATGTTTCTCCTCATGTTTAGTGTGTGTATATATATATATATATATATATATATATATATATATATATATATATATATATATATATATATCTGTTCATTGCTTGTTTGTTCTTGCTTTTTTTTTAATCAATGAGTTAGTGATGATGTCAAGAAAATTATGTCACAACTAGGAAACACTTACAGTACCAACTGCAAATTGTATTGCTAAAGAGATGCATTAGTTCTGATATTAAAAACAAATGTTCGAAAGGGTTGCTAGATTATTGTGCTTGTTAATTGTTATTAATAATCCTTATGCCGAGACTTGCTATTGTAGTTGTGTTCTTTTTGTTACTAATTAAGCTCTTATTACATATTAAGGATAGATTTATCAGATTCTTTTTGCTCCATCATGATTTTTTCTTAGTTATTTATTTTCTCATATGATATTTGCAACTATATATATTTGTTTAGCTTGTACAATGAACTTTAGATTCATCATCGGAAACAAATTTTGAGCTGTAAAATTTATGCCACTATCCCGTGACATCATTTCATCTTCTGATGAGAAAACACCCGATACCTATTTCAATTTTACTTCATCTTAAACTTAGTTGAGTAGAACGTTCTTGTTATTATATCTTGCATTCGTCTTATAAATAACTAACTTCAACAGAAAAAAGGACTAGGAATATGCAATGCGTAATTGTTTGTATAGGTTAGATTAATGAATGTTGATGCTAAAAGTTGGTTATAGCTCATTTGCTAGCTAGAAATTTGTATTCGTGGAATTAAGAATCTAGTATTTCTTATTATGTTGTGGTCACACCCTTAACTTTGTATTGTTTTCTATTCCAACTTTCTGCCTGTAGCTTTCATCTCTTTCATGACAACCTCAATGAAAAGAAAGATAAGAAGCTAAAAGCCCATCCAACTTTCAGTCCCTTTTGTTTCTTAAGCAAATCTAAGTTGTGATCACCAAATTGTTTTCCAAGAAAAAGAAAGCAAGAACAAACCTTTTGTTTGTTGTCTTTGTTAGTGAGGTTGAAATTTGTAGCCTAAGTACTAGTGCATATGATCAGGACTGATTGAATCTGGATTTATTCATCGCAGCTGAATTTAGGTTAAAAGTTCTGTAAATAGATTGGGTTTGGGTTTTCATTTGTTTTTTGTTTGGATACAGATATATGAATCTAAACACTTACATCCATGTGTAATTTCAAAGAAAAGACATATTGGGAGATTCACAACTGTCTTTTTAGCAAAACTAACTTTTGTAATTTGTTGCCAGTCTAAAATGTATAATAATTACTTGTGTGATACATAAAAAAATAGAATATTTTATGTTAACACCTGAATTAGTTTTTAGTTTCTACAAGTGTTAAATCTCTAAATTTATTTGTATCCATGTGTACCTTCACTTGATTTACCATTCATCCTAGACCTTATTCAATTTTGTTTTTCTGTTCCTATTTGTATTTGATTTCATTTTTTTTTTGTATCTTTGAGTAAATACAATTTTCACTCCATTGATATGGTTCTATATTTAGGTACATCAAATATGGTTCCATGTTTAATCAGTGATTTAAATAGGCGCTTGGGCGAGGTGAGGCGAGGCCCAAGCGCCTTGCTTCATTTCCAAGCGGCGTGCTTCAAAGAGGCGCCGCCTAGGCGCTTGCCCGAGCCCAGGCGCCGGGCGCTTCGGGCGAGTGCCTAGGTTAAACCAGGCGACCGAACCAGCGGTTTAGGTCTGGTTCGGTCTCCGGTACTTTAGTTGGTTCAATCGAACCAATTAAAGCACCGATATCAGTGCAACTTCCCCAACCCTAACCCTGCTCGTTGTTCACGCTGCTCGCTGCCGCTGCCATTGCTCGCTTTTACCGCTGCCGATGCCACTGTCGCCGCTCGTCGCTCCCGCTCCCGCAGCCACTGCCGCTGCTCGCTGCTGTCGCTGCCTCTGTCGCCTCTCCCGCTCCCGCTGCTCGCTGCTACCGCAGCCGCTGCTACTGTCGTCACTCGCCGTTGCCGCTGTCGCTCCCGCTTTTTTCAGCACCCTCGGTCTTCCCTTACACTCTTCTCTTCTCTTTCGCTTCTCCTCTTTCGAAATCGAAAGTATACTGTTAACAATATATAGTATACTGTTAATAGTATACAGTATACTGTTAACTGTATATAGTATAACACTATTATTTTGATTTTAATACTATTAATTTTAATATTATTAATTTTTAGCACCTCACTTCGTTCGGGCGGGCGTTTTTGGACCGTAGCGCCTTTTGGCGCCTAGCGCTTTTTAAATCACTGTGTTTAATATGGTTCCATGGCTAGATGAATCAATCAAAAGACATAAACCATTCGCCTTGGTTGACTATTAATAAGACATTTACTCTTTGTGATTTGGTGCAAAGTTTCACGGGAAGAATTAGTTATGAGAAAGAGAAGCAACACTAATTTTTGTTATCATGATGTTACAGCTTTAGTTAATAAATAAGGAAGAAAAACAACATATCGTTTTATTGACATGAATTTATAGTGAGTCATTTTTATCAATTGATTCCCTCTCCGTTAGCCTCTTCCTGATTTCTTTCTCATGTATTGTATACCATACATTTAAGAGCGTCGATGTTGGGGCTCTGTATTTGAATTTTTTCCTTATAAATGTGAAAGTTCTTAATTTCAAGTTGACATAGCCAAAGAAATTCCCAAATTTTAGTAATGGTACTGGTTGGGGTAGACTCCCAAATTTAGAGTTTTTGACATGGTTGTATTCCTGACACTCGAACAAACAATGCTGTTTCTTTCTTTATATATAAATAAGTTAACTGAGGAAATGATCCCACATTTAAATTATCATCTAGGACAAGTACTTGTGGTAATATCTTCACAATGATCACAAACTAGAATCTCCTCAAACCGAAGAGGGGAACCAACTACTTGGTAGGGCTCGGTTGGCAACCTTAACATCAAAATTTTCACTATATTTGGCATTTGAGTTATATAGAGCGAATTGCTTCTCAGGTAGTACGCTGCTTTGAGGATAATGATGTCATTCATGTGAATGGGAAAGTCGATCCAAAATCAGATATTGATGTTATCAACTTAGAGCTAGTTTTCTCAGATCTTGAACAGGTATGCAAGTTTAATAATTACCTACTTGTGGATATGTTGACAAGATGCTTTAATAACTGACTGGACTGAGGTTTGTCCTTGTAAGAATTGCAGATTGAGAAAAGGCTAGATAAACTTAAGAAGGGCAAAGCAAAAGATTCACAATCCAAGATGAAGGTAAAGCACAAATATACTCAGTATGTTGACTGAAAATCATAATTATTATTTTTAACAATTAGGTTGAATGCATTAAAAAATGTTTGTTCTAATAATGTAATATGTTAATATTTTATAACACTCATCAATGCCATTATGTTACCAGGAAGAGGCAGAGAAATCAGCATTGGAAAAGATTCAAAAGACACTTATGGATGGAAGACCTGCACGCTCTGTTTCTTTATCAGACTTGGAGAAAGAATCTATACATCATCTCTGTTTGCTGACCATGAAACCTGTCATATATGTAGCTAATGTAGCAGAATCTGATCTTGCTGAACCAGATAACAATCCTCATGTCAAAGAAGTGATGAACCTTGCCTCAGAGTTGCAATCTGGCATAGTAACTGTATCAGCACAGGTTTGGTATCGACACATGGGGTATCCATCACCATCTAAAATTATAAGCCTTGAATGTAAATTTGTTTTATTGTACATCTTCTCCCTCTGCATAACTTGAGTTTATCATTCATCTCCTCTCATTCTTTTTTCCTTTTCAACATATTTCCTTTCTTGATGATTGAAGAGTTAATTCCTGGTGTGTATACTTTAAATGCACATAATTGCTTTTGCATGCACATATTGGAAGTGTGAACTTTTACTTCTGGAATTGCCTAAAATTCAATCATATTTTCGTTAAATAAGGATGCTCTTTCTCTTTAGCAATGAAGAATGATACGACCACAGTATGTTTATAAGTTTTCTTCAAATTCAACTGGAATTGTTCTCTGATGTAGGCTTTCCATAGTCTTTCGCATCCATTCCAAAAGATTATGACCTATATGTATCTGCATGGCAATTTTGAAGCCATGAACTAGACACTAATCAAAAACTTCAATTATTATTTTAGATACCAACGCTAGAATTCTGTTCTTTTTGGCTTTCAGGGTTTCATTTTAACTCTTATCTTATAATATTCACATTCTTGTATCATTAACTATCGAGTATTACAAACAATTTATATATGTGTTACCTATTGAAACTGTCGCCTTGTTGAATTAGATATTAAAGATGCTCATCCAAATCTGATTTCATCTTTCTCATGTACATTTTCTTCAACAACTGATTCTCTACCACTGTCCATTTTAATTGTGTTGTTTCCATGGAGTCAACCACAATTGAATTGAACTGATGCATAAATCTGATTTTAGGTAGAAGCTGAGCTTACTGAGCTTGCACAAGAAGAGAGAATTGAGTTTCTGAAGTCACTTGGTGTTAGTGAAAGTGGTCTCGGGAATCTGATAAGAGCAACATATAAACTTTTGGGGTTGCGGACTTACTTTACCTCAGGAGAAAAGGTAAGCATTTGCTTTTGTTTTGATTATATATTCTTGATTTTACCTTTTGTTGCCCATTTATCTTGATGTGCCCTCGGTTTTCTCACAGGAAACAAAAGCATGGACAATATTAGCAGGTTGGTTTTGTTTAGTTTTGAAAAGTACCTTGGACTTGGTTTATTTTCTTGTCATGAATGATCCCTCATAATATAACCATAGTTTTAATCGAACAGGCATGACAGCACCTCAAGCTGCTGGGGTGATACATTCAGACTTTGAGAAAGGATTCATTAGAGCAGAGACTGTGAGTTCTCTTTATTTCTCCTACCAATTAAGTGATTCAAACATTCTACATGAGACTTACTGGGGAACTTGGGCTCTTAGGGTAGACTCACTTTTTCATGAAAATTTATCCTTATTTGAAAATGCGACAATTTTACTGGGAAATAGTAAATTATGAGAACGTGGACAAAAGCTATCTCCACAATCATTCACCAATTTAAGTAGGGTACAGATATCTTCTTATCAATAATCATGTCTTTTTAAGCTTCATTTCGCTGTATATTTTAACGTTTTTTCACTGTATATTTTTATCTCCATTGTCAAATTCTCTTTTAAATCCACTGCTGACAGATGATGGGGTTGATTTGGCAGGTCTCTTATGATGATTTTGTTGCAGCTGGCTCTTTAGCGGCTGCAAGAGAGAAAGGACTAGTAAGTTCAATTCACTGTTCCTCTGTGAGAATGTTCATAAAATTAATGCTCAACTTCATAATAAGCATGTTAAAATTTTAAATGCAAAGTTGCACGTATCCCACAAAGTTAGTGATTTTGCATTTATCAAATTTAAATTTAGCATATATAACTCCAAAACTTAAAAACTTGCACACACACACACATTTATATATATCTAATTAATGTCAGTTGTTTTCTTCGTAGTCAACTGTTAGTCGGAATTCTAATTTACATTGATACTTATAAAATAATGATATTAAAAATATTAGGAGTATTTTATATAATTTATATTGTATATGCTTCTTTAACTCAATCAAATTAATGTTAACCATGATTAGGAATAATAAATCTAAAAGAATGTTAAGAACAATGATATATACAGAACTTCAACATTTGAAAGCATGTCATATTGAAGTTTGAAAATAGCATACTTGTTTCCTCCAAAATTTAATATCAGTGTATGTATATATATTTTGAATATTTAGACCTTGCATTTATCCCTTTAAATGTTCAAATTATTCACATATGTTACTCCGGTGAGCATATTGATAACCATGATTACCGATGATTTTTTTTTAAGAGAAAGGATGAAATTTAAAATACATAAGATACCCTTCAAGTATTGCCATTGAAAACTTAATTTAAAAGGACTAATTCAAATACTATAAATTTGTAAACTTTGCAAGATATGTTTATGTATATAAAGATCCCATTTTAGATCTTACACTTGAGTGGTCTGTTGTTTGTTGTTGATGCAGCTGAGATTGGAAGGAAAAGACTACACTGTCAAGGAAGGAGATGTTATGCTTTTCAGGTTTAATGTCTGATAACATGATTGGTGCTCGAGTAAATTTTATTTTTTAAAGAAAATTTTTGGATAGCCCTCCGTCAGTGATCTTCAAAACAAGGTGATTGTGAGCACAAAAAATGAGAAAAAAAAAAAGAGGTTTAGAAATATACCAAGAAGAAAGGCTAAGCAGGGTACATGTCAAGCAAATACAATTATTCTTGAGATGTGTTTTTTTTTTTTGTCGGTAGATATTGGAGTATGAAGCTGAATTGCTATCGTAGATATGTTGACTATGTTTTTTGCTGGAAAATGTTGTGGAAATTTGACACAATGTTTTATTATATGAACAATCTGCTATGAAAATTGCTTTCAACAGATTTCTTGCTGTTATATGACTTGTAGCTGTGGATCCTTTTGTTTCTTGTAATGAAAATAGTTGGACTTTGGTCCTCACAAAGCTCTGTGAATGAATCTCTTCTAATTGACACAATGTTTTATTGTATGAATAATCTGCTGATATGAGTTGTAGCTGTGCATCCTTTTGTTTCTTTCTTGTGATGAAATAGTTTTTTTCAACGTCTACTTTTTTCATTCTTAGGTGACATATGATTTATGTACTTATATTAAAAATATAGATATACAGCTAAACCTGTATTGCATTCATTCCAATCCATGAGCAGTACATTTGGCAGGGAATGGAGGGATGCTTTAGCTTTGCTTTGTGCCAACCTTTCAAAGTTGGTCAAGAAGTAACTCCTGCCCCAACCGCTGGCGTCGAGGTAACTCCCTCCTCCGTTCCAACCCAAGTCTATATCCCTGTGTAGTTGATGAAAGCAGCTCTTGGCCTCTTGGAAACACGAGGAGCCATAAAGCTGTGCAGGCGCAGTCCTTGGCCTCCACTCCCAGCTCAGGGAAGCTTGTCTCGAGGAGGGGGAGGAGGTCGGTCTGGACTCCGAGGAACAAGGCATTCGAACGTGGCCCGGATTTTCCCGGTGGTGGCCGTCTCCATGACCCACGCCGTTCCGGAGGCAGAATCGACAGCAACCGACCTCAGGGCGGCGAGGTCGAGCAGGACGAAGGATTCGCCGGAGGAGACGTAGGACTCGCCCTCGTGGTCGTGGCCGCCGCTACGCACAGGTCGTGGGCCTTGCCGCAAGCGACGGCGGCCTGGACGTGGGCGGCCCCGGCGGGGAGGACGATGAAGGAAGGCTTGGTGGTTTCCGGCGACAGGAACCCGATGTTTTGGATGGAGGAGCGGAAGATGGTGTCGAAGGAGATCGTCTTTGGAATGTATATAAGCTGCGAAGCTTCTCTGGAGGAAGCAATGGAAGAAGCCTTCAAAGTACGCAGCGGTGACCAAGAAGAAAAGAGAGAGAGAGAGCGAGAGAGAGCACTTGTCCTGTGGATTTTGGAACGAGAGAGAGAGAGAAACAAAATAAAATTGCATGAACGTATGCAATTTGGTGACTGCGTCATGCAGTAGATGGAGCTGGAAAGTGTCGAGCTCTCTTGTCACTTTTTGTTATTATTTAGTTCAAAGTCAAATCAAATTAATAGCTCAAATTTGTTTTAGTATTTATTACATCTAGTGATTTTACATAGACTTAATTTGGTTTGATTTAAATCATATTTTCTAATGATTTTACATAAGAGTTATATTTTCCATAAAAAAAAAAAGAAGAAAAACATATATGGTTGAGATATTTATTTCTTTTAGAATTCTAAAAATGAGAGTACTTTCGGAGAAAAATCTAAAAAATATTTTTTTCTTAATGATATATATATTTGTTGATTTTTTTACGGCGTGGATATCTCTCACAAGGGTTTTGTATTCCGTTATATACTTGGCCTATCACGTGCGAAACACCTGGTCAGGGGCGGTGGTACAAGAATTAGCAATTTCCAGGGTTTATAAGATATTTGTGATCTCGTCGTTCCCCCGAGCGGTCGATTCCACCGAAGTGGAGGAAGAAGGAATGGATCGGAGACAACACGAAGAAGAGGTACAAGTCGATGAAGCAGCAGCAGCAGCAGCTGCAGCGACGACGGGGCAGCGACGTTACAGCAAGCTCGAAGAAGCCCTCGAGATCAAATCCCTCCGCCGGATCATCAGCGCCTACCTCAAGTACTCCCCACCACAATTTCCTCCTCTTTCTATCGATCCCCTTGCGTGCAACGAAAGCAGATTGTTTTCGTTACCCCTCTTAGTCCTTTCCCTATGTTCCGATTTCCAAGGAAAGGGCTCGATGATGATAAACGGAATCAAAGAATCTGATCAACGTTTCCAATATTAAAGATGATTTATATTCATCAAGATTGGCCTTTGTAGTTTGATGATGTGGTCGTTTTGAGTCTTCTTCTAATTCGTTCGCCTCTTCCTAATTCGTTTCCAGTAACTTGAGGCATCCAATTTTTTGGTATATTTTCTGTTTGCTAACGAAATATTACTTCAGCTACCCGGATGCTGCAGAGGAAGATATCGTAAGATACGAGAGATCCTTCAGAAAGCTTCCGCCTTCCCATAAGGTTGCTGTCTGTCTATCGGTAGTCTGCATAGAGTTACATATTTTGCTCAAGAATTTTTTTCGTTTACCTAAAGAATGACATTGTGTGGATTTTGCTTTCCTTGCTTGGGCATTATTGGATGTGGTATGTGGTGTCATCAGTTTATTTTCGTTTGTGAAGCTTTCGTTTATTGCTTATAACAATGATTTTCACTGAGAACTATTATCACGCTTCATCCTCCTTCTGCAGGCACTTCTCTCTCATCTTCCATTGAAGTACAAAACACTCAGACGGTAATTGATTTTTCAAACTTGACTCCTTGAATATTAACCAAAACTTCTACTTGATGGGAAATAGGGTTTTATTTTGTTTCATTAATTTATGACGCTGTGCATGGCTCAAATGTATGTTAAAGTTGACTCAAAATGCGGATACTGGCCATAAAACAATTCTATCTCTAATTGGCTGATAAAATCAATAGGACGCTTCTTTAACTTATTCCTACTTTATTGGGTTATAGTGTGGAGATCTTGTGTACATACTGAATCTGGCATAGAGTACTTAAAACTAAACTGTGATATGTTATACTGAAACATTTACACATGTTGATCTCCATTTTTATGCTATCTGTTTTCTTGCTTGGAGCTAGGCCTTAAATATGCTCTGTGCTCCCATGCACATTGTAGCTCGCTTCCTGTTAGTTCTTTGTCCCTTGATGCTCGTGGGAATTATGGAGTGGTCTGGGATGATTGTTGTTTGGATACATAAGTGGTTCTAATATCCTTTAGACAAATTCATGTTTGATATTAGCTTTAGTGTTAATATGCTTGTTATCTATAAGTCAGCAAACCTCCTACCAACCTTGTTAACTCCATGTCGGATAATGTCCCATAATTGGTTCTAATAATGTGCAACTTTGAAATATCTGAAAATCAGTTTAGTGTACGAGCAAACTAAACAATATTTCCTTAAATTTTCGTTCCTCCGTTTGTGCACAAGGAATACAGCTTTAGATATGAGTACGAATTTGATTCTTGTGTCTGTACTCATAGTTCCTATGATGCCTAAACGGATTTACGGTTAGAGTGCTTATACCTTATGTAAATATATTTTGTGTATGATCAAAGGAGCAATAAAGTACAGGATTTGAGCAATTAAGTTTTTGCAGTTGTTTCTTTGTCATGGACATGTAATAGATGTCATCATGGATTCCTGAACATGTAGTTGTTTGCAGGTGTGTTTCTGTGAACACATACTTTATAATGAGCATGCTTCAGGTAAATGCTCTTATTCCTTCAGTACATATGTACCTTCGGTAGACACTTCAATTTCATGAAGGTTAACTTAAAAGCTTTCTTTGTTTGTAATGCTGCCAGGCATTTGATCCTCCACTTGACATGAGCCAGGATATAGATATTGATGATCATGAGGATTTACAAAATGTATCTGAAAGTCATCAAGCTGAAGGCTCTAAATGCTCTGTAGAAAAAAATGTTTTCTCAGAGCAACCTCTGCCAATTGGTGGAAGTGATGCATATGTCTCTGAGCCAATCAATTCTGGAGAAGAAAACAATATGACTGACGAGTCCTTGGAAGCAACTACTAAAGAAGAGGTCCTATACTTGAAATTTCAAAATAGTTTCTTTTGTTCCATGGCTTCTCAGAATACTGTTGGACACAGCACATTATTTGGAATCTTCTACATCTTTTTCATTTAGAAGTTTGACTTCTGTAGATAACAACAGGAGATACATATGGAAGTTTCCCATGCGTCCCATGTGGAAAAGTTTGTAAGCTCCGAGATGCAAAAACGATCGTGCAATGGTAATATAAATGATGTGAAGGTTGTTACTGATCCAGCAGCTTGTTGCTCCAACCCTGATGCTAGCATAAGAGTAAGCTTGTTTTTGACCACTTTCTAGCATCTCAATTTCCATATTCCACAGATCGGTGTTAGGTCTAACTATCAAATATCATGCTCTTCTTTTATGCAATTATCTCATTGTAGCAACTAGCAATCCTTGTTGAAATTATGTGTGAAGTGGATTTTCTCTGATTAAATAACTATCTATGATTTGCATAAGATCTCTTTGCTAGTTTTTATATATTCTCCTGCCAAGGAAAAATTTATACTGCTCTGATACACACTGAGATTAAATAACTATCTATGATTTGCATAAGATCTCTTTGCTAGTTTTTATATATTCTCCTGCCAAGTAAAAATTTTTACTGCTCTGATACGCACTGAGATATCTTGTGTTTAGGGGTGTTGGTCCTTGTTGCGCTTCATTGTGTTGTCATTGTTGTTTGGTTATCTTTTATGATTCCCGAAATGCCCTTTTGTTATCATTGTTCCTTTAGTAGATCAAGTTTCTATCTTATTACATGATTTAAATAGCTTTTAGGTAATGACATATTGATTAGACATAATGTATCTCATTTTCTATTATATATATTTCAGGCAACACATCTTGCACACACCTGGATGGATCCATCAGTGCAGTTAAATGTTCCTCTTGTTGATGTTGACAAGGTAAGTTTTATTTGTGAAACTTCATTCTATAAGGATGGAATTTTTTTTAATGTTTATTCCATTAATATATTATTGGGAAAACTTTAAATGTTTTTATTTCTGAGCTACAAGTTGTGTAGCATAAAAACAGCCAAAGTATTAATCTTCAAAGTGCTAGGATCCATAACTTTTGTGACATGATTTCAACTTATCTTGAGCTCTTTATTTGTTCACATATGGTATACTTTCTAAACATATCAGGGTTTAGTGGTGGAGGATTGTGCTTTCGAGTTTTGATGGATTGTGTTCTTTTGTGATACTAGTGAATGTCTTCGTCATCAGCCTATATTGAAATTGTCCCTATTTCTGAGTCATTATGGAATCAAGACCATGATTACGACCCTATATGTATCTGTATGTTTTAACATTTTCTTGGTGTGGAATGACTGTTGTGAATGTGTCTTCTGTGACTTGTAGCAATGTTAAAAGATTTTTATGCTGCATCACACGATCCATCTTGTTACATTGTAAGATTTTTAATAGGGTTGTTTGAATTTTACAATGTTTTGAGCTTCGTTGCTCTCATTAATTAATGTGTATTGGAACTTCCAGTGAGTTCATCTATTTCAGAATTCTAGATGGTAGAAAACCTAGTGTTTGACCTGTTAGTAGATACATTGCTTTCATCGTTTCCAATTCTCCTGTCAGGTAAGATGTATCATAAGGAACATAGTGAGAGACTGGGCAGCTGAGGTACTTAATCTATCTGTATATGGTTTTATGACGACATATCTACCTCTTTACTGGTTTATATTATTGATATATGCAGGGTCAAAAGGAACGTGACGAATGTTATAAACCTATTCTTGAGGAGCTTAATTGCTTATTTCCACATCGTTCCCAAAAAAGGTACGTCTCCTATTACCTATTATTAATTTGGGGCATGGTCCTGGATCTGCTGTTGTGAACTATACTGAACAAGGTTAATATCAGATTTTAATTTCATTTTGGAAGTTTGGCAAAAGTTCATGTAGAAAACAAAGTAAGAATTTATGGATTCTGTATGTATGTCATGTACATTGTTATGCGAAGAACATGTATAGAAGGGGATGCATATTGTAATATGCTCTTAACATGATGGTGAGCAACTGGAATTTAGTCACCGAGTGCATGTGTACTATTGTGTAGATATAGCAGCTGAGTAAAAACTCACTCAATACAAGAGAGTATTTTATAATTTGAAGGATTTTGCTTATATGATTGGAAAGAACTATTTCCTTATCTGTGATATCTGAGAAGAAGACCTAATTTTTTATCTTATTGATGGTGGGTTTTAACTTTCTATATTTGATCTCTACATTATTATATTATACAATATGAAGGAAAAATATTCTGTGAATGGAAGTTATGGAAGAATGTGGTAGTTTTCTAATCAAGGTCTTGTTATATCTATCGTAGTTTTTCCATGACTCTAATTTCACTAAAAAGTTTGGTTGTATGTAGAGTTCCTTGCAGTTATTATAACTATTATTATGTCTCAAATTTTTTCATCTTATCTTCAGTATCCAATTGATTTTTCTTTCAAGTTCTGGCACGTGTGTACATCATATTCTAAAGGTTACTTTCTCCCTTTGATATTTGTGTAGTTAATAAATTGTTTTCTAAATAAAATTTGCAGCCCTCCTTATTGTTTAGTACCTGGTGCTGGACTTGGGAGACTAGCTTTGGAGATTTCTTGTCTTGGTATGCAGAGTATATCTAATGACGCTCTGTAATCATTATTTTATTTGGTGCTGATGCTCACCATTTTATCTTTATTGAACAGGTTTTGTAAGCCAAGGAAATGAGTTTTCGTACTATATGATGATATGCTCTAGCTTTATCCTTAACTAGTATGTTAGCCATATAAATTTCAATCTCGACTTCTAGTCTGGTTCATCTCTTTTATTTTACAAGATATCATGAACCAAAACTTACTGATTTTTTTTCTTATTTATGCAATTAACTAATAGCTGAATTTACCTTTTGCTAGTACTCAAGTGGCTGGTGAATGGACGATTTATCCTTGGATCCACAGCAATTGTAATTCTCTTTCAGATAGTGACCAACTTCGGTCTGTTTCATTTCCAGATATTCATCCATCAAGGTATATAGGTCTTATCTTAAATTCACTTTTCCCTACCAGTGCTGGGATCAACAATTTAGCCATGAGTTGTATATTAAAAGGCAATATACATGATTTATTTGTATTTATGTTTTGGGGCAATCTAAAATATCTAAGTTATGTTTATATATGTGTACAGCTGGTTGGCTATCATTCACAATGTGGATTGTTTGATTTCTGTCCAAAATTGTAGATCATTTTTCTAAACTTAAAACACTGTCTATGTTATTTAAAATTTGCAGAAACTCAAATGGGGTTTTATTTGACATCATGTTTATGCCTCTATTTGATATATTTATGTTGGTTGCATTTTAACATCTATTATTATGCATGTTTATAAAAATGTGCTTGTCATAATTAACTGTATTGATTTTTGATGATCTATTTTTTGCAAGGCTATAAGTTTCATTTGCACCCCTTGTGGTATGGACATCTGGCATTGGATGTACTGTTCTTCCATTTAATGTGGACACTTGGCACAGTTGAGTGTGTTGGCAACAAGTGTTGGAGGACAAAATATGGAAACACTATGGAAGATAAAAATGGAAGATAAAAAAGGTAGATAAACAACATGCTTACCTGATGTGTCTGGTCGGTGGGAAGATTTTTTCATCTAGATTCTGGTGATGAAAGATGGTGAGAAGTAGCTAGCAGGTAGACATGCCACAGGGTCTTAGGCATTGAACAAAGGGTAAATAAGATTTGAAGAATGAATCACTTACCAATTCTTTTTAAGATCAGGATATATCATAAATTGAAAAACCCATGATACAAGCATCCAAAATGCCTTATATGTAAATGAAAACACCTGAAAAGAGGCTGATGTCCTGTGAATTTTAAAACAGCAATCTATGCCAATGAATTTCAGAAAACATGCCACACAAGATGTTTACTTGACACTGGTGAACTCCTCCAAAATGCATGTTACTGAAACTGGAACATCCATTGATGATTGTTCATGATTCGATCAATATACTATACAGCGATGTCTGAAGTACTGATCGTAGTGGTACATGTTGATTGGTTTATGTCAGTCCAATCTGTTGGTTTTACTTGGTATACAACTAAACTAAAAGGGCATATCTAGTGCATGAGGCTCACGGCCTCACGCTAATGCTTGTTGTTGTAAATAAACCCTGGTCACCCAAATTTACAAAAAAAAAAAAAGAATTGTTGTTCCAACACTTGCCCTCATCACTTGGTATACCACTTTTATTCCTTTTTTTTAAAAGATTTTTTGTGATACCAGGTGGTAGAAGACAGGTGCGACTCATGGCTGTGTTGTTGTTATTGTTGTTGTTGTACCAGGTCGCAGAAGACAGCTTTTTAATATTGTGGTGAATATTATTTTTTCGAACCATTGATCTTTAACAATGTAAAGACTTTCAAATATGCATTTCATTGTTATTGTCTACTCAACACATTAACTTCAAGATTTGTTCCTTATTGATTTAGGTAAAATCCAAGTTATGTTTTGTTGAATTACATTAAGATGTTTCTCAGTAATTACTTTTTGGGGTTTGGTTAGGTTCCAAGTTTACAAAATTTTTGTTTCATTTATGACAAATGTCGTTTCCTATAAAGGTGGACTTTCCTTGGCTGTTCTTCTTGGTGATTTTTATGACATGCCATATTAATCTTTTGTTGTGTCTCTCTCTTGTAAACAGTGCAGGAATTACTGAGGGTTTTTCTATGTGCGCTGGTGATTTTGTTGAGGTCTATAATGATGAAAGCCAAGAAGGTACATTAAAAATGATTCTTTGTGAGACATACAAACTAAGCAGGCAACCAGGCACTTCTAGCTATGTGAGATTGTACATCTGGTGACAGCAATCATGCTATGCACTTATGCAGACCATTCATCTTTCAGGGATCTGATACGGGGATCTTTTGGACTTTATTCTGAGCTTGAATTGTTGAAACAATGGTTTGCTAGTATTGTCCATTATTGATGAAGAAATCATGCATGTTTTGATTTAAGATTGGTTAGGGATAACTTATGTTAATTCAACTTTTCTGTTTGAGTTTGTTAACAATTCAAACTTATAAACTTAAGTACTTCATAAAATGTCGTGGCCAATAGTGTGTGGTTTAGAAAGTTGTATTTGGACCCAAATAGGATATTTTATTATGGGCATCATAGTTTATGGTTTACACAGCAGGTCTTCATGCATGAAAAAGTAGCTATGCATGCTCTGGTTTTCAAAATATAATTGGCACATCATGTAGGGTTTGTATTCCTGAGTAATTAAATATCTATTTTTTCTTGCCCTTAAAAATGACATTGATAAAACAAATCTTGCTAGAAGAAATACACTATGTTAGTTGTTGCCATATCTTTAGCAGTGTATAAACAAACAAATTGTGAAGCTATAGTGAAGTTCCTTATTGTAGCTTGTGTTCAGATAGCTGGATGAGAATTTGGGTATTTTTCTTAGGCTTACTTATTTTTGAGATTTCACTTACATTGACATGGATGACTTGTTAAGTGACAGTCTACTTGGTTAAGCCAAACAGTGAATGATTTTGGTAACTCATTAATTGTCTTAGTGAACTATTATTCTTTTTGGAATATCAATCTCAGTGCATAGTTCATTAGTCGAGTCTTGTGACCATGGTTGACTTCCTAGTTCACATGAATTCTGATATTTCATTTTGTTGGTTAAAAGTTTTACTTTCAGTATCAAAATTGAAGTGAACTACTGATTCAATTAAGAGCATTTCTAATGAAATACAAGGTTTAGGTGGTCATCCATTGGGCTATAAGATTTTATGACTAGTTAGGATGTTCATAATAAAACCATATGTAACTCTTTAAAGTTCTGGAAATGATGAAAAGAGTAATAACCAAGAGTCCATTTAAGGTGGCTAGCCCATATAAAAAATGTTTCTCGTAATCTGTATGGTGATATTTATGAGTGTTCACTTCCTGATTTAGATAAGAAATTAGAACATTGTACATGTAACACAACAATTAAGGGATTTTTTTATTTATGCATTTCATGGATTTGTTGCAGCTTCATCAATGATGCGTTTTGACAAAGTTCTGTAGTCGGTTTTTTGGTTGCTAAAAACACTAAGCAAGGAATACCTTATCTTTCCTTGTTACTTCAAAAGCCACAACACCTTTTCTTTGCTATCATTTCATTAGTTTCCAAGGCAAACCTCCTACAATATAAAGGTCTATAAGTTAAGAAGGCTTATTGTATCATTTGATAAGTTTGCTTTGGCCTTTTATCTGTCAATGAGTATATAACTAGGGGTTACCTTATATTTCTTTTGCTCTGAGTGCTTGAGACAGGATCTCTGTCGGATCTATTAATGCTTTAATTGTGGGATTCGAGTTGTGCTTAATTTTTGCACATTCTCATTGCATTATTGAATCTATCTGCAGGTTACTGGGATGCTGTTGTCACTTGCTTCTTCCTGGATACGGCACATAACATTGTTGAATATATTGAAACTATATCAAAACTTCTGAAAACTGGAGGAGTATGTCTTCTGGAATGAGTTTTATACTTTTTACCATTCAATTACGATCTACACTGTTCTTTTTAGGACATTCCCGAATATTATTGTTGAGCCAATGGTTTCTTGATCTGATTTGATTAATGAATTCTGTTCTGAAACTTGTTACACTAAATATTATTTATTTATTTAATTTGATCATGTGCCATGCTAAAATTACAGGTGTGGATAAACTTGGGCCCTCTACTATATCATTTTGCAGACTCGTATGGACCTGAAGATGTATGTGTACTGTTTCACTATCTTTTTCCATAAGAGCCAATCTGAATGTTCTTTTTAATTTATTCCCTTTTCTCGAAGATGTCAATTGTTACATTCTTATATTCAGGAGATGTCCATTGAACTTAGTTTGGAAGATGTGAAAAAGATTGCTTTTCATTTTGGATTTGTAATGGAGGTGAACACTAATTTTCTAGTCTACGTCTCTATATCTTTGCAAAAGTTCAGTTATTCTTGTGCTTTAATGACCTTGTTTGATGATCACAGAAGGAGAAAGTAATTGAGACAACATACACTGCAAATCCTCGCTCCATGATGCAAGTAAGCTTGCAATCTTTTAGTTCATTTCTCAGGTTTATTTATGTTTTAAAATGCTGAAGGAAAACTTGCATCCCTGAAATCCATTATTCAAGATATCTTTGGGTCAGCAGCACACTCACATGTGGTTCTCATTTTAAAAGGAGTTTTTTTAACTAACACATTCGATGTACCTGGATAAAGACAAATTTCCCTCGTGCTTTTACAGTCATTGCATCTTCTTGAGCATTTAAAGGATAAAGTTAGATTTTGTGGTTAAATTCTGTAGTGCTACAGTGAAGCAAACAGACATCTCACTTTTGTGTTTAAAATGCAGAATCGATACTGCACAGCCTTCTGGACAATGAGGAAAAGCCAGTGATCAGAATCTATGATTCCATGGTAAAAAGTGCTTCATTAGCATTTGGTGCGAAAGTCTTTCATTGGCTTCAAGATTTCACTTCGCCCCTGATATGAGAAAAAGGATGTTGGCTGGATTGTCATGTCCAGTCATTCCATGATCTATATTTTCTCCTAGTAAATTGTTACATGCCATTATCACCTCGAATATTGTTGGTAACTATGTACATTGAGCATGTGTCACGTGCACTGTTTTCATTTGTTTGGTCTTTTGAATGCCATAGTATTCTTAAATACGACATAAAAGTTGATTGACAACCAAATAATTGAGGTGTTTGCACAGGTTTAAAACTTGCATGCCCTGAAGGGAGCAACTCAAGGAGTTGAGGCAATTCATGGTCTATTATGACACCTTCAACTGAGAAGGTGCATGAGGACCACTGTTGCAGCAAAAATTAGTGGAGGATATGTTTGGGCCTAACAAACCCTTCTTTTATAATCATAAAGCTTTTGTGTACTTGCCCTTCTTAGAGTTGCATGGCACATTGTGAATGAAGGTAAACTAAATTTGAAGCATTTTAAGTATTGCAAGTGTCAGATCGTCAATGAGTCTGGCAACAATAATGCATCATTGATATTGGACCTGTGGAATATATACATATCTGTGTGGAATATATACATGTGTGTGTAATCAATCTGAGATCACAAAAAGTAGTCATACAAAAAGTAGTCATACTAACCGGTTTAGCATGTCTTCTTCATGTATCTCATATCAGCACATTTTCTGGTTCTTCTTAAATATTATTATTAACAATTTCTTGCCGTAGAAGTAATATACTAACCGGTTAGATCACAAAGTATGAATGTTTCAGAAAATTTCTTAGATTTTTTAACACAAATTGACACATGACAAACCACTATCAAACTGTCATGCAGAGGATGGATGCTTAATCTTGAAGCATGGATGGATGCTTGGCATCATTGTTTCTGTTCCTGGCACCAAATGGAATAATATTATGCTTATTCTGTCCTTGTCTTCAGCTATAACAATAATTGTAAAATGGTTGACTTTTCCATGGCTAACCTATGAATAGTCCATGAATTCATTCGTAAATTATTCAAGCAAATTTGCCATATAGCATATTAAATTAATTGTGAACTATATAATAACATAGAATAAGACTTGTTGGATCGATATTTTTTCTATCGTGAAACTAATATGCATATTTATACGGATGCATGTTTGGATTTTTATCGAATTTTGGACCACAACAATAATAGCAATAAATTATAATGGTCCAACTATTTCGATCGATTAGATAAATTCTATTTAAAGTAACATTATTAGTCAGATTAAGCATTAATATTTAAGTTCATGTTGTATTAATCTTTTCCTTTGCTAAAAAAAAATAATCTTTACTATATTTTCGCATTAAATAATAGGTTTACCAAACTTTATATATATATATATATATATATATATATATATATATATATAT